ATTATGCTCCACTCTACCAATATTGTTCCAGTGAACAAACCACCGACAATACCTCTCTCCAACTTAATGTCAAAATCCTCCTTAATAACCTGTCTTCTTTGTCCTCTGGCCACACGCAATACCACACCAATTTCTCATGTGCAAACCCCTCAGACTCTATCTATGGCTTGTTCATGTGTAGGGGTGACTCTTCACCTCATGACTGTCAAAAATGCGTTCAAGGTGCAAAAAACAAACTATCCTCAGATTGTTCTCTGTCCAAAGAATCTGTCACTTGGTACGAAGACTGCATGGTTCGCTATTCCACCAACTACTTCTTCTCCACCGTCGCCACAACCCAATGCAACACTGGCAAGGTGTTCTCAAACCCTGAAAGCTTCATGCAATTATATTTTCTGACCATGAACCAAACAGCGGATGCAGCAGCACGTGCTCCTATGGTTAACAACAATACCAAGATGTTTTCTACGAGGGAAGCACGCGTGTCTGATTCCCACAACCAGACCCTTTATTGTATGGCTCAATGCTCACCTGATCTATCACCTAATGATTGCAGAACCTGCCTCGGTGAAGCCATAAGGAATGTTCCAAACTCTCCACAATGTTCTGGGGTGAGACTTGGAGGGAAAGTTCTTTATCCCAGTTGTAACATTAGGTATGAATCTTATCCTTTTTATCTCGTTCCACCGACAAACCTTTCACCTGAGCTTGTTCCCGAAACAAAAACCTCTCATCATGCAGATTTAACGTTTTCAAAAGACCCTCTTTATCTCTCTCACAATTGCTCGAGTAACAAAACCCTCGCTTCCAATAACACTTCACAAATAAGCCTCATCACCCTCTTTTCTTACCTATCTTCCAACGCCACCAAAAGGAAATATTACGAAGCTGATGTGAACAGCACAGTTTATGGCCTCTTCATGTGCCGAGGTGACGTTCCCTATGACGTGTGTGAAAAATGCGTCCAAAACGCAACACATCGAATAGCATTAGAATGCAACTCCCTCCAAGAGGGTATAGTTTGGTTCAGCCAATGCATGGTTCGCTATTCCGACAGAAAATTTTTTAGAACAGTAAAGACAAGTCCTATGTTTTCGGAGCTGAATTTCACTCAAGGAAACGAGAAACAAAGTTCCTTCAGTGTTACATTAGCGAAGACGCTAGATAAGGTGGCAGTTATGGCAGGAGACAGTGATGAAAGATTTGGAAAATACTCAATGAAACTGAATGATCAACAAATCCTTTACACTCTTGCACAATGCACGCATGATTTGCCTACTGACGATTGCAAGGGTTGCTTGGGAATTTTGATAGGAACAGAAATTCCATGGCCTTTTTTGGAAAGCACAGCGGGAAGAGTTCTATATCCTAGTTGCAATATCAGATTTGAATTTTCACAGTTTTACTTCGACAAAGTTCCATCTGCAAGACCAGTTAATCTCGAATCAGGTTATAATAATATATTTTTCATGAAAATAAAAATAATGTTATATATATATGTAGTAATTGTATAAAGCTTCTTCACAAAATCACTGAATTACTTGCAAAGATTATAATACTTTTGAATGACTGTGATGATGTTTTTATGATTGTGGTTCCATGTGTATAAAAATTATCATAAATAATACTTGTCTGGAATTTTCTACAATCTGATGCTCAAAAGCTAACGTGGACTAACCACAAACAACCATGTTAAGTCAACGTTATCAGTAGTCTATAATGGCATTTTTGTGACTTGTTTTATGCAGGAAATAAAAGAATCAATGTACGAAGAATTATATTGATTACTGTGCCCACAATTATTTTGATGACGCTCTTCTTCGTGGCTTTTTATTTTCAAAGGAGAAATACAAGAAAGAGCCATGCGACCATTCTCAAGGAAAATTGTACGTGCTGTAAAAGATTGCTTTCACTGATTCAAGAAGTATAACAACTTACTTAACAATTTGATCATATTTGCTAGTTGGTCATGAAACTGCCACTTTGGAGCCCTTACACTTCAATTTGACAGCAATTGAGTTAGCAACTAATAACTTTTCCAACGAAAACAAGATAGGTAAAGGTGGATTTGGAGAAGTTTATAAGGTAAAAGATCGATAATAATCTTTTCATTGGGTAAACATTTGGATATATTTAATGTTTTTAATTTACACGTACGTAAAAATGGTTATATTGTAGGGTATTCTTCCTAATGGACGTCGAATTGCGGTAAAAAGACTCTCAAAAAGTTCTAAACAAGGTGTTGCTGAGTTCAAGACCGAAGTATTATTAATTGCCAAACTTCAACATAGAAATTTAGTAGAATTCATTGGTTTTTGTCTTGAAGAAGAAGAAAAGATACTTATTTACGAATATGTGCCCAACAAGAGTCTTGATCACTTTTTATTTGGTTAGATACTTTCAACCTAAACTTTCCTAGTCAACATTTATATTCATCCTTATGTAATCTCTTTTGACCAAGTTGATGTAATTTCATCCATATATTACAAATTAAGTTTCATACTCACATATTTCATTTACACTATTTTGTAGATCCTCAACCACATAGATCATTAAGTTGGTATGAAAGATATAAAATTATTGGAGGTATTGCACGAGGAATTGTTTATTTACATGAACACTCTCGACTTAAGATCATACATCGTGATCTTAAACCGAGTAATGTTCTACTTGATGAAAATATGACTCCAAAAATTTCAGATTTTGGCATTGCTAAAATTATTGAAATAAGTCAAGACCAAGAAAGCACAGATTTAATTGTTGGAACATGGTAAGTTGATAATGTTTATCTATCTTTGTCCTTTTGTTTTTATAAAAGATATACTTGAATAAATGTTAATTTGTGTAATTTTATTTTATAGTGGTTATATGTCTCCAGAATATGCAATGTTTGGACAATTTTCAGAAAAATCAGATGTTTTTAGTTTTGGAGTAATGGTTTTAGAGATTATTACGGGAAGAAAAAATATATATCCTCCTGAACCACATCATATAGCTGACGGCCTCCTAAGTTATGTAAGTATTGTAATTAAACAATTTATTTCTTGGTTTCAAACATAAATCCATGTAATTTTTTTAACATTTAGTTTGATATTTTTACAGGTTTGGAAACAATGGAGGGCTCAAACAC